TCTTCTCCGCTGCGAACTACGTGGGCCGCGCTGGCAACCTGGGCGCGGCTCCTTGGACGGCGGCCGGAATGAGGGGGGGGGGGGCCTGAATTGGGGGCCCCGGGCGATTTACTGCAGGGTGGGCGAATATGAAGCAGAAACTCAGCATGTGCCCCGGATTGGGCCAAGTCTCGAGGGCAACTTTGTGGGACGTGGGACTCTTCAGCCTTGGGTTGGTGACTTGTAATATGCATGAAGCGAAAAGCAGATTCGGAACAAGCGGACGAATAGCCCATTTGGGTGCAGGTAGACAGAATGCAACTTGCCAGCAGCAAAATGTTGCTTGATGTTTAGCATAGCAGAGGCAAATCAGCACACCTCGCTGCTTCGACGACGCTAGCACCAGCCACCCCCCCTTCCCTGGAAAAAGGACTACCCGAAACCCTGGCTCAAGTTGAGCAAGCAGAGTTCCAAGGGTTCCCGCTGATCCAGGCGTGCATGCTGCGCGCTGATTGGATTTGGGTTTAATTATGTCATTGGCTCAGCGGCTCCTCAATCGGGAGGGTGTAGAAGAGAGGCCAAGATGGACCATTGAAGCCAAGAATGCCGGTTATCCCTATGCTGGCAAGTTGTTATTGGTTGTGTATCCAACCAAAAGGAGTTACCCCGCGTACTTGACGTATGTCAGAAGAACACCAGCATGAAATCTCTCCCTGGTTTTGGATACTGTTGAACTTCGCTGCAGCTTCATAACATGGTTTGGCTTCTAGAGTACCTCTAGATATGCGCTAGAAGGTAACACTTTCTTACCAGCAATCACATTATCTAATCCACACAGTGTGTTTCGACAGTATACCCTGGCCAGGGTAAAGACTGCCTGGAATGTAACACGCTGCCGACGCGAGTCATGGTGTTAAAGGGACTGCAGGCGGTGTCGCCGGGTGCACAAACAGCAAGCAAGTGATTTTGTGTAATTTGCCAGGGCCCCCGGACCGCTTTCCTTCCCGCCAGCATCCCGCTCAAAGCCGCCGAACATGGGAGGGGTCCCGAATTCGGAGACATTGCAAAATGAGGCCTGAGTGAGACAGATCCAGGCCACACACAGCCTGCGAGCATGCATCAAAAAGGGGTGCCCTGGCCGAGTGCTTAGCTGTCAAAGTCGTTTTTACTGCTACCCTGTTGGGGGTTGTTTCAAAGGGAAGCCAGTGGGACATACTTTCCCGCCTTGGGGGGCGGTTCCCTCAGACAAAGTCCGCGGAATTTGGGCTACTGCTTCCGCCGTAGGTTTGCCACATCAAGTCCCGCGGCGGACGCATCGAGGCTCCGGACTTGTCCATCACCACCTTTGAAGGTGAAGCTGATGTCGGCGCCGCGGCAGATCTGTCCCCCTGAACTCGCTGGGTTCCTGATGCGGAAAGACTCAGTACCAGCTGTGCAAACTTTCAGGCACTGCTACCTGTTGCGAAACGGCGCGTTCAAACTTCCGAAATTGAACACCCTTTTAAACGCACATCTCTTTTTTGCGTCTTTCTTCAGAGGCTGGGCGAGCATGAAACATTTGACTGTTGAGACCATGGGTTTTGAACCGGTGGCGATGAGCCTGAATCAGAACCTGGGTGAAGGTTTGTTCCAAGCGATTTTCCTGTAGACCCTTCGAATACCAGGCTTTTTGGGTCAGGGTGTACCGGTTTGCCTTTTCACCCCAACGTGAGAAAACTCGTGTAGAACCTTTGCTCGGGTATTCTATTGAGCCAGAGGAAGGGTGAAGGGGCAAACCTGAGCTGACAAAGGCTTGCTTCGATGTTTACTTGATGAGAAAGTGCAAGGGCACCAAACCATTTGCAATCACTCCTGAGGCACAATCAAACTCGAGTAGATGAAGGTCCCAGCTAATTATAAACAAGACCAGGCTTCAATCATGAATAGCTTTGAGTTGGTATCTTGCCATGCAGAATGGCAACTGTTTCATCTGTCATTTGACAGCCCAGCCCCAATCCACAGAGGGCAAGAAAGGTTGAAGTATCGCGGACAAAAACTCAACGCTACATTCGCCTCAGCACTTATTGCCAGACTTTCCCAACGTGTCAGCAAGATGCAATGTGTCGCTACCCCATGTTCATGTCAGTTCGAGGCAAACAGTGCATGGTACTGGCCCAACGAAGCTGCATGCTGGAATCTTGCGTCCAAACGGAAACGTTGTCCCAAACAGACCGGCAGAACAAGAACAACAATTGCCAGTTCTCTGACCATAGATTGCAGGAGGAAGACAGTAATACTTCCCATTTTTGGACTGCCTAATATTGTTTGGTAAGAGCGCCCTAACTTGAGGTTGGCCTCAGGGAAATGCAAGGGGTTTCAGCACTTTGGTGCGTTGCCGCTGCCCACTCTGATATGTTTGCCGATTTTGCAACGTGGCGAGTGATGTTGTTCCGCACATACGTGTGGTGGCGTGTGGTTTGTCGGAGTTTCGCCAAGTTTTGGGAATCCCCCGGTCGAACAATTGGCGAACCAAACAGCAGATCAGCTTCCCAATTTCGGTATGCACTAACATGCGTCTCTCAAGTCTGGCAATAATGGCCCTGATTGGGACAATGTATATGAACATATTAAGTTCTTGAGCTCACCATTCCAGAGTGCAACGCATCACATATACGTTAGACGGAGTCTTAGCGAACTTGCTACTGTAGGTCATGTCGGCCAGCTCAATGCGAGTCTCTATCGAATAACTGCACTCACGTTCTTTGGCAACAATTCAGTGTTGGATGTATGTCTGTTGCAGTTTAGGCTACCAAAGTCGACATGGACAATCGACTGCATTTTTGTTGCGGGCCACGTGCGCTATTCTGCCAATCCAGCCAGCGACAGATATTGGTGACTGTAACACAACTCTAGCAAGAATTGGTAGGATATTCTACTGGCAAGTGAATGCTTCGGTGGTCAAAGCATCGTCCCAGGACATTCCAGCATCTTCGGCGCTTTGTCACTCCCTCGGAGCAGACTCTGAGCAAGTTACTGTACCTGAAATGCGAAGGCCTGAAATGCGAAAGCCTGGATAAGAAAGAGTCGCCAGCTGCCAGAGCAGGCTCCAGCAACTCCTGGAAAGTTTTAGATGGTTCTGCGAGAAGTAGAGCTGAAGGTTGGCCAATAGTGCCGTAGCCGAGAAACCGCCAGCGAGATGGATATGCATGCTCAAGCTCTTTTGAACCTACCAGAAGGGGTTACTTTTAGAGAAAGAAGTCCTCCATGGGCTTCCATTTACTGTAGGTTCCGTGATAAGTTGGTAGATCACTGTTTGCCAGAGATTGATTGATTGGATGTTAAATGACACCAAGAGAGCATTGGACGTCGCCTAATTTCACAAGACTTTCTGAGGTATGAGCTTTCACAAACCAACCACGCGCTGCCAGCTTTTCCAAATGCTGGTTGGATGTTAGAACATGACCAAGCTCGAACAATGGGTTCGCACGTGCTGTTATTTTTTGGACGCATAACTACATGTATTTCTATTGTACACTGCCGTTGTTGTGCGCATTATGGTCTAGTACTTTCATATCTTTGCCATCATCCAATTTAATTGAAATAATAATAATTTTGTTCTACCCACCCGATGGCAGCGTCGCAAGAGGATTATGACCATATGCATGTGTCCTTTCAATGCAGGGAAGTGTTTGAAACGAACTCTGTCAGTTTGAGTCACGGGTTGCTTACTTGGCTTGGCAGAGGGCTACCCAGCGCGCATGTATCCTAGCCGCAACAAGGGGCGCAGGAGTTCACGTGTTTCTCGCCTTCGTTTGACAGAGCGTTTGGCCAAGACAGCGAATTCTTGTGCCGAAAGGCATCAAAATTGTTTGTCACAAGGAGACGTTCAGTCGCAGAGCTTGCGTGCACCAAAAGGAAGCTTGTGCGCTGGATACACAAATATGCTATGATTGCGCGGGGAGTACAGCAGCTTACTGAGATCAGGTGAGTTTAGACACGTACCAGTTTGCGAAACTCGCTTTCAGTTCAATACCTTTGCTTGCGTGCTGGCACGGTGCCGACCCAATTGTTTGCATCAGCTGCCTTTGTGTGTGTGTGTTGTGTTGCTCCGAATTGATGTACTGAACGACCTGCCTGGCAAATTGCACGGTATGCCATGCGTTCCATTGCATTTGTGCTTCCCATACTTCCCATTTCTCAAGCAGGAATATGTCCTTTGTTGTTTACTGTTTTTGTGTTGTTGTCCGTCTCGCTCCCTGTCCTTGTCTTTCCCTTTCTCCATCTCTCCTTCTCTCTCTCTCTCTCTCATTTCCTCCCTGTTTCTTTATGAATTGGATTTGTGTCATCGTGTTTCACGGACGGCATGTGTGTCTCGATCTGAAGCGTGTCAGCTGAAGTCAGCGGGCCTTTACGTAGTCAACAAGCCCTTGCATGACCTGTTCTAGATACTGTTCGCTCTCTCTCTCCCTCCCCCTCTCTCTCTCTCTCTCTTTCTCTCTCCCTTTTTCTCCCGTTCACGCCAAACTTGCTCAGATTTTAATATGTGTGTGTGTGTTTCTCGAACCGGTGTGATGGTTTGGTGCTGCGGGAGACATATTGCCATGCATCAGGCATGGTCCTTTGCTTTGTGCTGGCGGCCGGAAGTGGACACACGCCCACGGCAGTGCGGGATTGCCCTTACATGCTCCTGTCCCAGCAAACGGTGTTTTGGAGTCTCCTTATTCACGTGTGCGGCAAGCGATGCGTGGGGTGTGACATTCTACAGTAATTTGCCAGGGGATGCCCCAGCCTGAAGTGGTCATTTGGGATGTGGCATAGCTCCAAGATTGTCACCAGTTCTTGAAAACGATTTCCAACGCTGTACTGGGAGGCCAGATATGTTTTAGCGCACCAGATGGATGCCGCCGTCACAAACTACCCGGGATCACGCATGGCGCTTCTGTACGTTTTCATCACTGCCATATGAATGCCTGACAATTCCGACAAGAAGCCGAGGGGCGAGCATGTTGGCAGACCTGTCACTGCCATTCCTGCCTTGTCAGGTCAGCCCATGCCAGTGTCAAATCAATCCAGCAGCGTGGTCTCCCAGGGGAGGGGGGAGGGAGACACGGAGTCTGTCAGCGAAGCCGATATGAGTGGTTGGATAATACATTGATACTTGCAGGGAAATAAGATCCACGCGACATGTTTGAAGCACGCCAAGTGTTCGGGGTGAGTGCATAGTACCGCAGCAACCGATTTGGGGCAAGAGTTGGGCTGGGCTGCGAGATGGAGAGACCAAGGATTGGTTGATCATCTTAAGCAGTGGCATTCAGAAAGTTCACGTACTGAGTCAGAGCCATAGCAACTGACTATATATGAAGTGTCTATCGAGGATGTTTATTAAGGTCATGAGTCACAACCGTCATTAACTTTCCTGTGGTTCCCCTTGTCATGGCTCTGAACCCGCTCGCCGTGCGACATGCCTCCCAGCTGTGTTTACGTCTCAGGTTGCGTGACGCCTTCTGGTTTGTAAGCACTCAGAAGCTGCGAGGAGGGTATATTCTGTGTCATAGAAAAAAATGGGCAGGTCAAGCTCACGTATAATCTGTTTGCTGCAGGGATGTTTGCTGGCATTTGCTGCTGGGCACAAATGACCTAGCGTGAACTCGTTGAATTGCCGCGAGTATACCCAATTCCCCCGTTTACAATATTCATCATCATCATCATCATCAGATGATCAAATTCAGCCATAGCTCACATCCATGCAGCAGTTGCCTTGTACTTGTGGGTGCTCTGCTAATGGCGGCTCCGCCATTGAATCCCGATTCATGCCTGCTGTGTTGCGATGTTGTCTCTGCGCTACGCACTTGCTTCTGTTTTTGAAACAATCGATCTGTTTCAGTCGCGGTATTGTCATGATGGTGGTTTGCAGTTGTTCCACTCCTTGCGCCTTTGCATGATGTTCTGGGGATGTAACAGTGTAGGTGTTTTGTTGTGGCCACCCTTTCCGGGATTGGTTTCAAGGGAAACCAGGAGCAACCCCTTTGTGGTTCCTTGGAGACGCGTCTCGCTCCGAAGGCGATTCCTCGCAGCCCCTCGGGGCCGCAAGTGCAGCCCTGGGGCCCAGCCGGTTTGCTTCACGCAGATCGCGACCTCACGGGGTTCGGTTTGCGATCGATGTCAACCATGAAGGTTCACAAGCGCCCACCGAAGACTATTCAACAGACGAATGCTATCCAACATTCGAATCTTCTCCCAAGTAAAAACAACCTTCGAATCTTCTAAGTTCCCAGAACCTGCCTAGATCCGTCGCCCCGGAGCCATTTTTGAAAGCTTCCAGAGCTTGGAGGTTCTTTGGCAGTCTCCAAAGGCTAAACCTTGAAACGCGACTTCCAGCCTCCCCAAACCAACCCGGCAAAAGACTAATTGGAAATCCGTCAGCATCCGTGTATTTAAAAGCGCTCTATTCATGCAGTATACAGTAAACAAATCCCTGAATGGCTACCAAAAAAGCACCTCTGTCAAAACACTGTCATATGTGCCCGTTACTGAGACGGTAAGAAATGAACAACACAATACGACATCATAGTGTACACCAACTTATGAGTTATATCCACAACCGCAAACCCTAAACCGAGCTGGAGCCGATTTGGAGTTTCCCGTATGAACTATGTTTCAGCGTCTTGCCAAACCAAGGGCTCAATATACACCTTGAGCACAATTACACTTGCACCAGGTTGTTTGCTCCAGGAACCTCAAGCTTCTCCACCATGAGAGGCTGTGGATTCCAGGTGGGCCTGACCCACTCACCAAATGTGTCGTTTAGGGTGTTTTGTCCACATTCTCGCGACAGACCAGAGGGGCATTGAACATGTTTCGGTGTCCTTGCAGCATTTTCAGTGCAGCCCCCTTAGGGTTTAGGGGCTGGGGAAGGCGGCAACGACGAGCACAACGTCGGCAAGCAACTTTTGTGTTCGCAGATTAGTATCAAACTGCGCGACTAAGCTAATGCAGACAGCTGTTGTACGATTAGTATCTCTCAGCTGTTGTACGTCCCCAGGGGGAGTCATCCATGGCCCAAATGTTTGGCAGTTCTTTGTCCTTGCGTTTTGATCAACCATGTTACTTTTTGCCTGCCGCGTCATTCCCTCTAAGGTGGACATAAATGCAAGTGATGCTAGAAAGCCTCCCAATGGAAATCAGTGAAACGGGTGTTTTTTTTTTGAGGGACCCCATGTTTGTGGCTTTGAAGGGCATCCCAAGGATCACGACATATGTTTGTTTGTTGTATTTTTTTGCAGGGGTGTCTTCTAAGAAGAGATCCCCCCAAAAAAACAGTTCTTGTAGCGTGTTTCATTTGATCTATGCGAGGCCTGCCCGAGGCAACACTGTCACGGCGCCGGTGGGCAAAAGTGCCAAGGACTGGAGAACCACAGGGGGGGGGTGTTTTTTTTGAGGGTACCCTTTTCGGTTTTGGTTTAAGGGGAAACCCCAAAAACACGGCCCATTTTAGGAGGACCCCTGTTTTATGTTGTTTTTTAGGCATAGTCACGTCGCGACCTTTTGGAATTGGCCATGTTCCCACGTAGCAAAAGGATGCACGTTTTCCAGGGGGCGAATTGCGTCCAGCGCGATTCTGTGTGGATTGAATCATCTTCACGAGGAGCAATCAGTACCCCTGATGGAGAACGCTTTCTCGAGGATTTATTGTGTTTGTTTGGGCGAAGCATCATAAAGCAGCCGCATGCATACCTTTGGTCATGACAGCATAAATATCCGGTTCAGACAGCGGGGCGGGCTGCCAACTCTTCATTGCCGGCATGTTTTGGATGAAGAATCCATAGGATTTCGCTATGGGGCACGCAAGCATGTCCTATCCATTGGCCCTGGCAGTATGATCAATCTCCCGGGCTCCAGCCAACATTTGACATTATCAAATCGCGTTGCTTAGTCGCTACTTGTGTGCTGTGCCCTCATGCGCAGAACAATACACAGTCCAATCAGCACAATTCAATTTCCATGGTGAATTGACATCATGACCAATTTCAGCATGGTTGGCCTTACGTAGTTCGGGGGCCCTGGGTTGAAGGCACGCCATAGAGGATAGTGACGCACCTTCTTGCAATATTAGGCATCCCAATGCGCCAGATCAACGCGTTTTCCGGGTACAATCAGAAGCCAAAGGTCAGCAACTACTCAAAACACAGATTGGTCAACGGAAGCAACAAGGGCCAAGGGTGCAGAAGCTGACGCCTTGGGTACATATCACCGATCAGCAGGACATGCGCGCATTTGGAATTCAAGCGCGCATGAGGGATACTTAAGGGGACCAGTGCACTTTGAAAGCTGCTGGATGTATTTGCCAGGTCTGATGCTGAAAGATTCTTTAGCATACTGTGTTACATGGATCACGTTGCTGTTATAGAGGCAAACCCAGCTTGCGTCTTATTCGACCTATTAACCTTCAAGCGCTCAGCCACTCCCAGTTGTTGCTGTGTGTGTGTGTGGCCCTTGCACGGACATGTTCAGAGTTCCCCAGCCCCGAAATGTCCGATCTGTTCTGTTTGTCATTGAGGCGAGGCGTGTGCCAAATCTGCGGTCTCCCGAATTCCAGGAATGATCACCTCTAACGTCAATGCTCTCGCTGCAAGTTGTTGGGCGGCAATGACTTGTTTCGGTTAGTGCTTTGCTAGCCGTTTGGCGCAGATCAAGTCGGAAGCTGCCTTGGGACAAGTTGTTGGCCAAATCCAGCAAAGAGGCCAAGTGCGGTTTGAATGTAGACCTTTTCCACTCGGAAGCATGTCATCTTGGCTGGCGAAGTCGTGCGTACTTCAGCATGGCATGCAACAGGCTTGTGACCAACACATGTCAATGTGCGGCGGCCCTGACACTGCAACTTGCGCCATGAAACATATAACTGTCACCGACAAAGCGGCAGGGGCATTGTGCCAACCAATCCGCCCAACATGATGGTCCCCTACCCGGCAGGGTGGGCCTTAGGAAACCAACCTTTTTGGGGACCCCTATTTTGAGACCCCCCTCGGATGGGTTTGTCTCAAAATTGGTGGCTCTTTGGTGTTTTCCTGTCCAGGGCAGGGCGTTTCTCGCATCGCTGGCAGGACCAAAAGGCCATCAACACCATTACCGACCTGCTGAAAAACGCGGCCCAGCTGTCAAATCTGAGCCGTAAGTCTCCTAAGTGGGTTATAACCAGGCTTACTATCCACTTACTAAGTACCTGCCCCTTCAAGTTAGGTCTGTTTGATTGACACTTAAGATGGACACCATTTTTCCCAAATGGACATCTTAGAGCAGGCGGAAGGGTCAAGGTGGAGGTGGAGCATGGAGACTAGGATTCCTTTGGTGCCTCTGTAAATGCAATGCTGTCCACTGTGTCCACGAGGAAATATGGAAAATGGGAACTCCATGCAGTTCAGCTGGATCGCCATATACGTAAGCTTTCTCAACTGTTGATATGTTCTTGGGCGACCTTTGCGCGCAGTTGGGTACCAAAAAAAGCCAAAGCAGTACCAAACAAGATCAGCCCCCCCTAGCATGCGCAACCTCTTACTGACTTGACTCTTGGGCCCCTTGGGCTGTCCGGGGTCTTCATTGCTTCAAAAAGACAAAAGTGCCTGATTTCCAGAAGCCCAGCAAATTGGTACGTGCACTTGACACCTGGTAGGGGGGGGGACCTGGCCGTGTGTAGCCAAGTCTTCTCGACTGTTTGAGGGGGCCCTACGAATTTGAAGCACCAGCTTGACGTCGACAACCCTCGAACTGCTTCAAGGCATGCGGCTCATTTGGCAACGCATGTTGCACCTGACCGACATGCACCCTATTGTTCCTTGCGGGAGCTTGATGAGATTGCAAGGACAGTGCACGCTCCAACATGATTGAGCCAACCCGTGGTCGTTTCCTAAAAGGAAGGTGTGTTCGATGAGACTGATGGCCAGAAGTCCTCATCAATCTCCACGGACAAACTGCAAGTTGACAGGAACCCGATGCTCAAGATGAAGCTGTGCCAAGTGCATCTTCGGTTTTTGTGTAGCCTCAGCACCAACTCGATCTGCCAGCTTCTGTTCCTGTTGGCTTTTGCAACCACAAGCAAACCCCATCCAACAGAGGCTGCCCAAGCTCAGCGGCTTCCATTTCATGTTTCACTGTTAAACCACCCCGAAACTGGTACGCTCAAGGAAGACACACATTTCTAAGCCGGTTCTTACCAATGTCAGCATTTGGCTGAGGATCGCACTGCGCTGAAGCGCAATGTGGTGCAGTGCTTCAAGCGCCACTCGGTGGCACGAGCCGGGGGTTGGGGAGGTTAGTTTCAGGTGTGGGTTTAGGGGTGAGTTTGAGCTATACAGTTGGAGCTCAAAGATCGCTTTTAGCAGCTGATTTAGGGGATGCCCTTGCAAAGCAGGTGGGATTTGGATGTATCCTTGGAGGATGGTCACGAGTGGAAAATGGTCATGACTGGTTTTGACGGGGGGTACAAAAAGGGGGCCATATGTCTGACAACCCGCCACCCCAGCTTCAAAATGGAACCCATCATTGAATCGTCCCCCTCAAATTTTGGTGAAGCAGCATATTTTGCCGGCTCAAATGGAGGAGTTGTGCCAGTTGTGTATGTTTGCCAAACATCCCGCGTCAACTACAATTGAACTAGGGAGGAGTTACGGGTCCCCCGATTTTCATTTGTGACAGCCCAGTTTTCTCTTGCTTGAGGGTCCCTCATTTCAAGCTGCCTCATGGTGGTTTCTCCCGGCTTATTCCACATGCCGAACGCACAGGGCTATGCAGGGCTGTGAGTAAAGTCCGATTTGCTGAAGAGATAATGGTTGGTAGTACGTTCAGTTCGCATCTCAGGCTTTCTGCTAGACCATTGGACACGCAGGTTCAGTTGGTCAATGGTCAACGCATTCAAGTTGTGGAGGGATGAACATGTTGAAAACTCGTTTGTCTTTGTTTCTTATCCGCATTCGGCAGAGCGAAAAGAAACTGAGGGCTTTGGATGTGTTGCATGACAAGGCCAGTATAGTCTTGGCGACCTTGGGCAGCCAATACCTAAGCGTGGGGAAGTTGTCGCATTTGGGCACGACGCCAGACCTCTTAAACCTTACCGGGTTGACCAGATCTTCAAAAGTCGAGCAAAGACAGCAAGAATAAGCTATGATTACTCCCCCAGGGAGATTCTCTAAAAAAGCCTCAGTTTTGGGGTTCCATGTCAGTCTACGGAGTGTATTCAAGTTGAAAATGGTCCCAGAATCAATTCCCAACAGCCCGCTTGGAACCCCCAGACAGAATCGATGCCCGATAATCGGAGACTTGTGTGTGCAATGGCCGGCCTTGAAGCACGAACCGGATTTGCATGTCGAGTTTTCCCGCGGCTTTCACTAGTGAATCATACACGTGTTGATTGGTGCTGCGTGAACGTATCTACAGCAGTGTTTCCACATGCTACTTGATGAAACATGCTGCAGAATTATGTGTGTAAGAAGTGCAAGCATCCCACCATCAATTCGTGCTGATACATATGTAAGCTTCACGGCCGTGTTTTGAGATTCCGAACTGCGCACAGCTCACACTGAATTGGATCCTGACAAGATTGACAAGTCCAAAACACCTTCCTGGGCAAGCCTTCTCTCGTGTTGAGCCTTGCCGGAAGTTGGCATTGGACCAGGACACCTTCCGCTGCCGCAACGATGTCCTGTTTGAAATCAAGGCCACAGGTGCCCGAATAGTTTGATCCTTGATGAGGCTGCACATCACACCTTAAATGCCGAACCACTGCTCGCACATGATGCGCGAACTCTTGAATCATTCGCTTCATCTCTAAAAAGTTGCAAGTTGACAGTCCAAAACATGGCAAACACCTTTCCAATTGCTTTCCGCCTGAAATTATCCTGAATCTGCAGAAGGTCCAAAGCTTTCGGACGCGCGCTCTGAAATGCGCGGGACCGACACCAACTTTCGGCTCTGAGGGGTTGAGGAGGATGACGACTGCGTAGATTGCGATGGCCTCACGCAGATCTGCGAGGCGCGGGGAGCTTCGGGAGGTTCGTGAGCTTCGGTATTTTCCCCTAGCTGCCCTATACTTTCCATGGTTTTCTGATGGGATGTGGTTGGTTTACTTGCGCAATATGTAGGGCATTCACTGTTCCACTGCCCGGTTCAACACCAAGGGTCAGAAGATGAAACGACCCAGCAGAAAGCCTTACCGCTACGGCCCCCTTTGCCAGGTTCAAGCCCTGACATTACTGCTAGAGATGAATTGCTGACGGATTGTGCAACTGCCAAGCAAGCAAAGTTCAACCTTATGCTTGGGACTTCATTGTGCGCACGCAATTGCTGGGTACAGTGCATAGCGCGAAGCATCCTGGGAGTCCTGAAGCCTTCTAATGGAACATTTTCCCCGGGTCCAATAGGCCAGTGCTTTGGGCCTCCCGTGGATTTGTTTTGGCCAATTGAATTGCTGCCAGCTCAAGGGCAACGAGGCGGAGATGGGCCACATGCATCTCTTGTTGAATTGAATAAAGATTGGCAACTTTCACGCAAGCAGATCAGACAAGATGCGGGCACTGTCACGCCGATCGGGAGCCCAATACCAGGGCCAACATACAAACATGGCAAGCCAATAACTGCCGTAATGCTAATGATGCAGTGAGCTGGACTCAATTGGGCACAGGAACTCGCAATTACAACTGCATTTGTTGCGCTCCCACACGCGCATGCCGGGTGCAGTGCTGTGCGCCAAATGGGGCACAAATTACCCCACGCCCCAATTTCGAAGTAAGGTACTTGCCAAATATACCCTACGCAGCGCGCATCAGCGCGCAGATCCGGTTTTGACCTGCATACGTATCAAAGCTCTGATGCGATACCCTTGCCCAGATATTTTCAGATGCCTGCAAGTTCGGCACAGGCTTGTGGATTGCCAGGCGCTGGCAAACGATTTGGATCTGCCCTTGAAGGCCTTTGGGGACCTCAAAAGCCCGGGGCCGCAGCTGGTTTGAAGGGCTGCCGGGGGCGGGGGAGAGAGCTGTACTGTAAGAGTTGAGGAATAGCGACTTCCGCGATGTTGCGGTTCGACAATGCATCCCGCATTGAACATCAAGGACAGCCCTTGTGCTGTTTCAATATGGAGTGTTGGTCTGTTTTCAGAGCCCTCCGTCAAGAAGAGGTCGTTGAAGACCTCACCTTTGGCCGCCAACGCTGCTACAGGTCTGGCCCGCAGCCCGGCCACATTCGTCCAGCCTTGAGGATATATACTGTATCTTAGGGTTCGCTTTTGTACTCGAATGACGGCCCAGTGAAGGCTGTCAACTAATTGCTAGTACACTGCAACCGACATGATAAGAATTTGATGTTGCCCTCGCCCGTTATAACTTTTCACTTGTGCATTGACTGAGGGCTCAAGTGGAAGATGTTTGTATCGCTGCCAAATGAAGCCACACATATTACAAGTTCCACCACTATGAGGTTCCCTCGGTTTGCAGCTTCGTACCTCGGTTGTGTGACAGCAAGGGAACTCTATTGTACTCATTGAGCTTGGGACACAAGCCTGCGGAATTCACAAACTAGCACAGCACCCCTGCGAGCATACACCATTAGGTGTTTGGCTGGACTGTCGGAGGACCCGTGTTCTTTTGTTACCGCATTTGGATTTTGATTTCTGCTTGTGCTGAGAAAGATGTTCATGTGCGTAGAAGAATGATCCACCAAGGGCTTTTATCCCATTCAGTGGATCCATTTACCCGTATAGTAGGCAACCAAGGGAACAACCCTTTAGAAGCCAACAGGAAAATAGTTGGTTGACTACTATATGGTTAACGGGGAACTACACTGGGCCAGTTTTGATCCACAGCCGGTTCCATTTCCGGGAAATCCGAGACAACTTCCTGTGCTTCGACTTCGACGGCAGCGGTATGTCCGTGACCTCAGCTGCCCTCAGAGGCTTGGAGGGTTACGGTGAATTTGCCAGAGACATGGGGACTCACTGAATAGCAGACCAAATCCAGATGACTCACTAATTTTCCCATGCCCATGCTCAAAAGACAAGGCCCTTTTGCGTCCTGACCGCCTTTGACCCACAAACAGTTGACCAGAGGAAGGTTGGAAAAGCCCAATGCGAGCCGCCAAAAGGTGAGTGTGCAGCAAAAACTGCTTGCATGATTTTGGTAGACTCCTTCAATCCAGGCTTCGACAAGGACGCTTTAATGACCCCAGACCACAGCCCCGACATGTCCAATTTTTGATAATCCTCTCAGCGGCTCGCCTTGGGGAAGGTACCCTGCGAAGCACCTCCCCGTGGCCATGCTCGACACATGTCAGAAACGGGTTCGACTTTGTTTAAAAGGGGTTGCAGCGAAGATATCAACTTGTGTAGCCATGTCGAACCCAAAGTCCATAGGTTTTGAGCTTTGCCCGCTTGAGCTTCCATAGTGTCAATATGAGGCATTGAACGTACATTGCTGTCATAGTCGAGAAAGGGCAAGCCCACGATTTGGGGGAGTATGTCAAAACTAACACATGGATGAATGACCTCCTGAGGCTTCGTGCTAAGCCACTCTCCCAAAATGGCTGCGGACATGTCACAGTAGACCGCTCCCGTTTGGGCCTCCCCACCAGGAGCTCAAACTAATGCAAGAGGGCCTTTCGTCCGAAGCCTGGAACGGTCAGTTTGCTATGTACATACTGTGGACGGACAACATCCTGGACCTTTTGGGGCGGGGGTGGGATAGCCCGCCTACCAACTGGTGTGGGATTTAGTCAGCATTTTAACTGCCATGGCTGTTGCTCTCCAGCCACGGTCGACTGAGGTTGGAGGTGAACGAAGTCTACAAAGTGGTGAAGCAGCAGCCTTGGATCTTTCAGGTATTCGCCTTCACACTGCAACCATTTTGCCGTCCCTTTACATGAGATCCAAGCGTTTTGGTTCGTAGGGAAGGTCAACGCTGCGCGGGTCGCAGCATCTTACAGCGGAACCTGGTGTTGCGTCACAAGCTGGAGTGTAGCACTCGCTTTAAGCATTCCTTTGGGCTTGGAGGAGTTGCTAGTTCTTGCGTCATGATGTGTGCCAAGCTGAACATGTAGCCCGAACAGGACAAAGCACAGCCTCAGGGGCCAGTCCAGCTGGTGACCTAGGCAATCTCAAATGGGTCTTTCTCAATGGGCCCTGTCTCTTTTAGACTTCCCGTGTCCGTTTTTGAAAAGGACATGCAACTACCATGAACAGCCACCATTTCGCGGGGATGGTTTAGCTCTTGAAGGGTTTTGTTGTTGGCAAGCATTCCTTGAGCCATGCGTAACAAACAGAAGCATGGGCATACTTTGCCAAATACGCTTGGCTGGGGCATAGAGATCGGAGCCTCACCAGGATGTTGTGGCATTTGCCAAAATTGGGCGACTTTCTTTTTGGGATAAGGAAAGAAAAGGACACCACCCATACATATTTGGCATATATATATATATATATATATATATTAATACATATATATATATATATATTAATACATATATATATATGTATAATATATATATATATTAATATATATACACATGTATTATTACACACATGTTCTGGATCCACGCCCAAACTGCAATCACGGGGAATTTATAAACGCTCGAACGAAGCTTTGAGGCACCAACTCCGGCAGTACCGCAAGCTGTTGGGCGGTGAGACCCTGGTGGCTGGGAGCCTCAAACGGAGATGGCACACGGTGCTCCGAGATTTGGTTTGACCCAAGGCTTCACAAATCGTCGAGGTATCCATTCCACCCGTCCAGGTGGGTTGGGGTTTGTTAGTTGCCAACATCACAATTTTACCATGACCCTGCAACCCACATCATGTCAGGTACAAAGGTAGGGGCCCTGTGCTGAGGCAGGGGCATACCAGCAAGATCAGCGCATGTTGTCAGGGATCATCCTCGCGGTCCAGAAAAACCTAAGATTAGCAGTTCAGCTCGCATTTGTTCATTTGCCAAGGCCGATGAACGAATTGCTTTCCTTGTGCCAAGGGACGCCAGTTTGGTGAACTGTAAATCAGCCATTTCTAACAGATTCTGACGTTTTTTTCAGCGGACCCGTGTTCTACTTCCCAATGTATCATGCACAGTATGATTTGAGAATGGGATTTCTGCTTGAGCCCGTGCAATGCTCATAAAAGACAGCGGGCCGAGTTTTCAGAGGGGCCGCTAACTTGCATTTGGACACACGTTTGTTTCCATGCGGTTTTGTTTTAGAACCCTTTTGAATTGCGGCGCTTAGGCTTTTCAAGATACACATTCAGAGCAGATCAGGACACCTTTTGCCCACACCTCTGAAGGGATAAGCTCCACCCCAGACAAGGCTGATTTTGCCAAGCCAAATGTTTGCCAAAATGTTCGCCACGACTACCAGCAAGCCGGAATATCTTGACGGGATGCAAGCAGAAGTCGGACAGCTGTCAACGAAGTGATTTACATGAACCATGTGTGCCTAGTGGTAGTCAGTGGTTCCACGGCTGCGGTTGCACCGCCAGCCCATGCTTAGCAGCGTTGGTGCTCTGACTCATGGTTGAAGTCAAGGGTTCTGTCTGGCTCCGGATGCCTGCGCACAGCTGTTTGCGATGGAATGCATGCAGGCGAGCATGGCACAAGCAGACAAGAATAGTACTGACATGCATTGCGGCGCCGCTGGCTTGACAATGGCCATGTTGGAAAAGGATATCGGAAATGCTCTGCCCAGCAATATGCAGTCCACGCTAACCTGAGAAGGTACTTGGCTGGCTTTGCAGCCTTTCACATGATCCCCATTTCTTCTTTGTAGGGTTTTACAGGGCGTAGGAATCACAGCAAGTCAGGCCTCCTGATGCAGGCAAGTTTCTTGATGTCAGCTTGCAGGTAATGCTCTGTGAATGCCCGGCTGTTTCTCTATTCCAATCGTGTACTGGGACTGAACTGCGCAAGCTACAAGGGACATTGTGTTTGTTGGAAGCATGCCAGCCACTTGAAGTAACTTATGACCACTATCAATGAAGCCGCGACCACCAGTCACCAGTTCCGCGCAATATACCACAACACATATCCGTTCCAGCATGAACTATTTTCAAACTACCCCAACAGGTGCAGCGCCCGCACCAACCTAGGGCAGCTGCTACAGACATCTACAGAGTTACAGTGTGTCTCAGCCAGCACGCTTCCAAATGCAAAGAAACAAAAACCATACGACATCAGTGTTTTCATGTATTGAATCATGACTGCCTGTGGCCATTGGCAGCTCGACATGTATGATGTGTAATTGCTATGCTGGCAATGTCTTCCCTCATCTTGTGTACCGTTTATGTTTCGGACATATTCCAGTACAGTGGAGCGAGTAGTTCCGCCTTGACAGACTCCTTGAAAACAACTAAAAGAAGGGTGATACAAATAAGGTGAACAAGAAGGACAAGGCACATAAGACAGATCCGGCAAGGAAAAGGGATAAGTCACAGCAGAGTCAGGTGAACGACTAAGCACAGGAACAGCCAGAATAGACCACGATGTATTGAGGATGAACCGCCATAAATTTGCGCTGGCACTGTCGACATTCCATTTCACGTGAGGTTAACATGCCCTTCCGCACGCTGCAGCAAGCTGGGTACACTGTCTACAAGGAGTGACCGATGATCGGAGAGGAAGGTGTTGGACTGCTGGCTCAGTACACTTCAGATGCCATGGCATATTGCAACAAGGCAATGCGGAATCAGGCGATTCACGGCCAGATTACATCCCAAACCAATACAGTAACATGAAACCAAATCTGAAGCCACACAAGCGTTGAGAAAAGCCAAGTTTCACGATTCACGTGTGGGTTCCATGTTATTGGCCGGGGAGTCTGCCAGACATTCGCAGAACTGGATCTGTTGGTCCGTTCTACATAGGCCGGACAATAAGGTGGACCACAGGCGAATATCTACTCGTTGCTTGTTTGTGTCATGGGTGAAAGCTGCTTCCATCTTAGCTTTTCTGGGCCAATCTGCTTGGCTTCACAAAGCGGGTTTACGACCGCACCCATGACGACGGTTCCGTTCTCGTAGGGTCTATTTACTGTGACATATTGATGACACATGACCCAGACATTTGTCGTTTGCATTTATTAACGGGTTGTTTTGGGGGATATAGTATTCTCTATCATGATTTGTTCAGCCTGTTCAATGCAGTGCCACCGTTCAACCTCTTTGTGTTGCTCATTGGGCAACTGTTTTTTTTTTTCCTGGAGTATGTCATGTGGTGCATGTGAGTCTGTGACCCTAGAAAACGGTGGTTTCCGTTTTGATTGTCTTTTGACCCACCCCAGACAAGGCAAACCCATTCCCGCTCTATGTCAGGAGCTGGGCCGTGGCAGCCAGGGCGTGGCCAAGTTGGCCAAAGACCCCGCGGGCCGGGAGTTTTGCGCCGGGGGCACCCGGAGCGCGGCTTCTGGATCGCTCGCCGGCTGGGCCAAACGACTTTGTTGAACTCAGAATGAGGAAACTAAAGACGGGGAAAAGGGTTGACCTTCAACTTTTGGGGGTTCTGGTTTTGCGCCGCACTATGGGTAGGATGGGAATTCAGGAGCAGTGCTTGGATGGTTCCTTGCTGCGAGTGCCATTGAATTTAGTCCTTCACTTTGGGGTCGCCTGTCACACACTAGGTCTATGGTGAGAACCGAGCCAAGGGAAGCGAGGGCTTTGTGGTGGACCATGTGTTCCAACCTTGTTTTGATTGTGTCTTACTTAGGGCACCTCATAATTCGCCACACTTGATGCGCCATGTGATCCTAAAACCAACTACAATGCGCAGCTGCTGTGGCTTTGGCTTCGTAGATTTTTGAAGGGCAGGTGGTTTCCTAAATTTAGATGCAATGTCGGTATCTTTGCCCGAGTCGGGACACCGGGCGAGCCATGCCGAATGCCCCAAGTCTTGGAGGCGCTTATGATCATTTGTTCAGGAAGGGCGTCAGCGACGGCATGGCATGGCATGGCAACACCTTCACGAATTCAACTTTCAAACAGACAAAGTGACTGTCCAAGGTCAAGTGCCTCAAGAAAGACACGCCTGGCTGGCCTGAGTTGCGCTCGAAAGCACCTTGAGTCACCTTGCTGACAGTGTCACGAAGGGCTCACTGGGAGAATCAGAATTATCGTGAACCTTTGGTAGGAGAGACGACTTCTCTCAGGGTTCCTATTGAGGGAGAGGCGCGTGCGATGTTGCTGCCTCTTTCAGGTTCCCTTCCAGGAGCGATATGTGCAAGTGAGTGTGTTGCATGGCGGACAGCAGCTGTATGTTGAGGTTGGCCTTCCCCTTGATCGACAATGAGTCAGCAAGCTTCGGATAGTCCAATCCACCCCAGGGAGGTTGTCAAAAGCTTAGCCTGTCAAGGCCGAATGTTATCCAAAGAGAGGCAAAGGTTTTGATCGTTTGCGCCTTGTCGGGCATGAGAAGTGTTCGAGGCCATCAACCAGGGGCACTAAGAACCTCGAGCCTTCGATGCTTTGTTCGCTTCAAGACTTCTCCTTTTGCCTGGGGTCTCCTTTCAGATGTCATATTTCACATCCTTTAGGCATCGACCAGAGTCTAAAGCACAAATCTTAGCGGAGGGCAAATCCTGAGCTCCCGGCCCCAGCCTTTCAGAATCAACCTCCGAGTCTTCAAATGGCTGTAGGATTGGATGCGACAAAGATGGTTTGCCATTACTCCCCAAAAAAGGTCTGCGGGTGCTGTAAATCGGAAAGGGTTTATATACTTGAAAGCGATTGAAAGTGCTGGGGAAAATGCTTCATTTCACACAGGTTTTAGAGAGATAGATTTAGAGGTATGCAGCGTCCACTTACATTACCCTGCAAGTGGAGGCGGTCCACCGTCGAACGCGATTGCCAGGATGTGCGCCTCCGGAATTGAAGAGCTGCAGGAGGAGTTTCAAACGCTTGGGGCTACAGGCAGCGGACTCTCCGTGAGGTTGTGTTTGGTTCGGAGCAGTCCAATTATTTTGTTTAGCATGAAACCACTGCATTCATTGCCAATCTGATTGGAGTGAGGAAGATGTTTAGGCAAGGCGGATGGCTGCAGTGGAAGTTTCAAGAGTTTTAACCGTTGGTTCTCAATGCGAGTGATCTGCGGGGAAATGCTTGAGCAATGCAGTTCTCAATGCGAGTGTTATGCGGGGAAATGTTTGAGCAAAGGCGGCCTGACCAGGACATATCAACCTAGTATCGGGCTGGTGGCATTTCGTTCCGACGTGGTTCCGGCGGGGTGACAGCCACTATATGCATTAATTAATTGCTTGATTAGTTGATTAGATTGTTTTGATTCATTGATTGTGTTTAATTGATTGGCTGGTTGGTTGGTTGATTGGTTGGTTGGTTGGTTGGTTGGTTGGTTGGTTGGTTGTTTGGTTGGCTGGTTGGTTGGTTTGACTTGATCTGATTTGATTTGATTTGATTTGATTGCTGATTGGTTGGTTGGTTGATTGATTGATTGTTTGTTTGTTTGTTTGTTTGTTTGTTTGTTTGTTTGTTTGTTTTGATTGCTTGATTGAGTGAGTGAGTGACTGAGTGAGTGAGTGTGTGAGTGAGTGATTTGATCGATCGATCGATCGGTCGGTCGGTTGATTGATTGATTGATTGATTGATTGGTTGGTTGAGTGATTTGATTTGTTTCGGTTTGATTTGATTTGATTTTGTTTGATTTTATTGATTGCTTGCTTGCTTGCTTGCTTGCTTGCTTGATTGATTGATTGATTGATTGATTGATTGATTGATTGATTGATTGGGTGATTGAGTGATTGAGTGATTGAGTGATTGAGAGATTGAGAGATTGAGTGAGTTGATTTTGGGTTTGACCTGATTTGTTTGATTGATTCGTCGAACTGATTGAGTGGTTGATTGGTTGGTTGGTTGATTGATTTATTGATTCATTGATTCATTTGATTGATTGAGTAATTAGCTTGGCTTCCTTGCTCTTTGACTGAGAGCTGAGTGCTTTGCTTGCTGAGGCTACAGCTCCTGGCACACGACAACATCGCCCAGGCATGGCCGGGTCACCATGCCTGTAAAGATTGGGAATCTGGCGGTGGTCAAAATGGAGTGACCCAGAAGCTGGGGACCTGCTTTAGACGAAATCAGATTAGCAAAGCAATCATTTCTTGTGGCCCTTTGTTTGTCTTCAGGCGCACCCAATCAATCGTCCATTCATCCTGCGATCAGGTAGGCTGCAGAATGACGCCTTTCCCAGATCACAATCATGTGTTCATTTGTATTGTCCAATGACCTTAAATCGCGGTGCGCCGAAAGTGGTTTGACGGATGGCTTCCAAGGACACCTAGAGCACTTCAACCATTCAAACATGTTCCCCAAGTTGGACACCTTAAACATGACCAAAGTATGCGTTGTTTGTGCTGGATGACACGATAGCCAGATCTGTTTCTAGATCGCAACTAGGGCGTTGGTCAGCAACGCGGACATGCAAACACGGTGCGGAGCGACACGAACACTCTGGCATGGATGCCGGGGAAACAAACTACTGGACAGCAGACCAATGTTCGGCATATGCTTAGATTAGTATGTGTACATGTATGGTATACATGCATACATGATACACATATGTATGTGCAAAGCATAATTTACATAAACACAGACCTCTTTGAGGATGATCCAAAAGATTGGTGGGAGGTCAAATTTGCAGCAAAGGAGATACCTACATGAAACTTTGCTGAATAAGTGCTTGGACTATGTAAAAGGGAGGCAGCGCGCCTTGCAAGTGCAAGTTAGCAGAAGCTTGCACGTCATATGCACTTCCTTCCTATGTGTATGTTTGCTAGGTGTTCGAGATCTTTCAAGATGGGCAGCCCGGAAGCCTGGTCTTTGCGTGTAGCAACATCGATGCTTCGACATATTCAGAGAGGCGAATTGCCGGCGGAGGCTAACTGATGCCCATATACAAAGCGCAGAGAACTTGCACCCGGGGGTTCGTTCATCTAAGTGCTGGCGGGAATTTGTGAAGTTGCCGTGTTGCGTGGACGTTGTTTTTTTCCACCGTTGGCCACGTGCTCGAATGACAGTTCCAATGGACTTCAGCTTGACTATCAACAAGCATGCCTTCCATTCAGTGCAGTAAATGCCATGTCACGCGTTTGTGCTCGAACACAATCCCTGCGATGCGCTTGCTTGGAATCTCAAGGCTATGTGCATGCGTTCAGCCTTCTTATGAGGAGCAAGCAGCTATAAACTATTTAAGGGCTTTTTGCATTAGAGGACTCTAGCCAAGCCTGGCTTCAGATGTTCATCCAGTGTCATCAAGTCAGCCTTCGGACAACATTAGGCAACGCTATGCAGTGTTGCTGTCAGAGATCAGAGGGTGATGTGGCATGCAATGTATGTGTCCACTGCAGCACACTGTGCGCACTGCAGCGCACTGCAGCATTCAGCACCGTTGAAACGGTCGGCTTCTTCTGCATTGCAGTCAACCCTGGCATGTATTATTTGAAGTCTCGTTGTTGGTTCCATGCCCTCCGCGTTGGTCTCTTCGAACCCTTCACCAGCCGCATATCATTTTTTAATCACATTGCAGTAATGTGGGTCCCTTGAGGAAACATAGCGATTTAGGAGAGAGAGAGAGAGAGAGAGAGAGAGAGCGAGCGAGCGAGAGAGAGAGAGAGAAAGAGAGAGAGAGAGAGTGAGAGAGAGAGAGAGAAAGAAAGAGAGAGAGAGAGACGGTGACGTTAAGACAATTGGTGCAGATAATACTTTGAAACTAGTTCTGTTTCTCCTGCCCCGTGTTCCTGGCTCTCAACTTGTCCCAGTAGGTGGGACCTTTGTTCAGCATGCAATACATTGCGGCTTCGTGCATTCGCCTGGCATCAAACCACCACCGCGCAGTACAGGAACAAAGCAGCCGACATGATCCGTAAAGTCAACAAGCCAGCCATTGCTTTGAGGTTTTACTACATGGTGGGAGAGCCCTACCACGGCGGGGACTTCATGACGCTCACCCCTCGCGCAAAAGAGCAGGGAGTGTCAATGACGGAGGAGAAGCTGCCAAGTTGCAGGTGGCCCATCACATGGCCCCGTTCAATCCTGGGTTCTGAATATCTCAAGTTTTACCTTTGATGCCCCTTAGTTACCACCCACAACATCTACACTGCAGCCCATGGGTGAACTAGCACTTGGGGTCGTGAGCCAGTGGCAGGGCTTTGTTGCTGCTTCTGTTGCTGCTGATCCAGGTTGAGTTAGGCACCCAGCAATCCTTGAAAATCTCAGATGAATCATGCTACCACTACTACTACTACTACTACTACTACTACTACTACTACTACTACTACTACTACTACTACTACTACTACTACCACTTCTACGGCGACGACTGTCATCATCATTCACCCAGATCCAATGTAAGCAGAGTGGTGCGAAACTTGTGGGCAGGACTGGTGGCGCGGCATCTTCAGGCAGTGTGCCGAGGCCTGCACCAGCGGCCTGTCTGTGGTTTGGGTCAAACGCTTTGGGTTTCTCTCAAAGAGAATTCAGGAACCCAACGTTTTGGGGATGTTCTCCTCTTTTCAGACACCCCCAGGCCCTTGACTTATCCCGTGTTCTTTGCTACTACCAAAATAGCGCACGAAAGGCACGTGTTTCACGCACGAACTTTCGGGCTTGGCCTTGTTGCGGGCCAGCACTGGGATGCAATCGTGCTGCTGGTTTCATGTAGTTGTGACCTACATTCTGCGAATTTAGCTGCAATCGTGATTGCAGTGCTGCACGTATGCACCGCTTTGCAGATATTATCAAATGCCGACCAGGTGTTGGCTATTCTCTAAGCGAAGGCCCCGCTTCACCCGGTTGGGCCACTCTTCTACGAGGGTTAGAGAAACGCATTGGAGCAGCAGCGCCGCTACGATAGGCGTTCTGAGCTGTGTCTTTGTTCCGCTGAAAAGCGATTATAGCGTTTGTTGCTTGGCTTTGCCAATCAGTTCGCCTCCAAAGGGAGGCTTTCTGTGAGAATTTAGTCAGCTTTTTGGTGTTGTGCCAAGACCGCCCACGCCGAATTTCGGGAGGCGGACATCTCCTTTTTGGGACCCCCATTTTTGGGTTCCACGTGGACATCACCAATATCATGTCACAACTCAGGGCCGTGTTCAAGTAGCGGTTGCTTCAGGGTTTCTAACATGTGGTTAGGCCATGCCATGCCATTTTCTGTAGTTTCCCTCTTAAAACTATCTAAAAAGGTCTCCCCTGCTTTGAGACAGACTCGTTTGTTGCACTGGAAGCCTGGGTGCAGTGCTCACAGGCTGTGGAGTTCATGCACGAGCAGTCCATGATGCACTGCGACCTCAAGGAGCCGCCGTTTCTGTTCTCGAGTGCAAATACCTTAAGACTTGTGGCCTCCTTGAAAGGGGACCAGAAGGAGGTTGCTTGGTCCACAAGTTTTAAACATGTTTCATGTTTCACCCAGATAGGTCTAGGACCCAACTTCAACCCAGCTGGTCTGTGGTACTTGTCCTTTTTTGTTTGGTGGGTTTACCGCGGAAAAGGAACTCTGGGCAATTGGGTCAATCATGCTATTTTCCTTGTATCTAAGCGAGAAGGTCATCCAGACATGTCCCAAGTTGGAGACATGACTTTGAAAAAGGTGTGTGCTGCATGTGTGTGTATGTCTTTGAGGGGTTTGAAAGGCACGCTCCATGGGGGGGCCAAAATTCTAGACATAGGGAATGCTGTGTTGGGTGATTTTGCAGCCACACAAATCAACACAACCCATATTGAAGGTAGGGACGGGACGCGCTCAACTTTTGATATGTAGCTGACTCTGTGGGATTTGGCAACGGCGCGAGGAGCCCAACATCATGATCAAAACCAGGGACTTCCGCAACCCGGAGGCACGCCACTCTGGACATGGACCAGCCAGGAGATATGCTTTTGCACCAATATGAGGAAAAAGCAACATGAACACAAAGAAACGGTTTTCATTTGGTTTTCTTTCTTGCAAAATCGGGCATCGGGGCTCAGAGACTGAGAGAGAAGGAAGAAACAGCTTCTCAGACTCTCGGACTCAGTGGCACAAGGCTTTCGGGACGATCGTGCGGCATGGCAGGTGGTCATCATCGATTTCGGCATTTGCCGGGCCATGGTTACGGCTTCCAATGGCCCCTCGGATTCTCTGCTGGCGTGGGCAGGAAGAATGCAAGAGCGAAAGTGATTGAACCCGCCATGCTTGGGTCGAAGGTTCGCAATGCCTATCAGGGTGTTGTGTGATGCAAGCTTCTGCGCCAGTGGGATTTGTCAGTTGTTTATTGATCTCCCACGTGTTTATTGACTTTTGCGGGTTCCCCTCTAAAGTCAACCAACACAAGAGGATAGTTTGTTGCATTTTGGGCCAAGAAGAGAGAGATTGAACAGGTGAACCCTGCAAGTCTGGTTCGCCTGTCTTCCTCTCGCCCCCTCTTTCGGCAAAGGAAGGCAGACATGTCTTAGTTCTTGCTTGGCCAAGCCTTGAACAACTGTTCGAGAACATGTGCATTTTCCCACTGACTGGCACACACGCACACACACACACAGAGCACATTTGGGGCAGCCCAATAGCCGCCACTTAAGCACGGTTTGACACCGGATGCGTGCGAAGCGTGCTGAGGCATGCCGGGTGGAACGTCTCAACCTTAGATATTCGAAGGGAAGGCTTCAATATGACCATGTTCTGATGGAGAATCTCCACGCAAACGATTTCCATCAAAGATTTCCCGACTTATAGTTCCTAGCCATCTGCAGATCTACTAAGTTGATGGTGTATATCATAATATGTTTGGTAAAGAAGCTCAAGCTTGACTATTCGGGAGGAGTCTCAAGTGTCTGACACAGCCATTTGTTGAGGCAAGCTGAACCTGGGAGATGGGTAACCCGATGGATGTTGTTGCTGATTAACCATCAAATATGTGTGCCGCATGGTATGCAGCAACATGCTAAGAGACTTCGGGCGGCGCAGCTGACTGGAAAGAAGCACAACCAAGGCACTCTTATATGGGGACACGATGAAACTTGACCGTTGCCCATGCCCACTTCAACTAAGGCAGCAAAGCCTGCCAATTATGCGCGATGTTGCGCTCATGCACTGTCGCGAGTAGCTTGCATTGTGAATCAAAAGCTGATTTGTTTGGTCTACAGCGTGCGCTACCATGGAAGAAAGATTGCAAGAACTTGTGACCAGTGGCTCTGCGTGCTTGCATTCTTCCATGTCTCGGCTTGAGGCTGTGCACAAATATTTCTGCCCTTCAATGTTACAATCCGGCAGGATCTCTTGAAGCAACCTTCAAACAGATGTGCAGCCTTGGCGGCCATGTGCAAAACGCCTGGTTCGTTGTGGTTGAACAACGTTCATTATTCCTTGTATGAGGGGTATGGGCCCGTCATAAAGATCCCTCTTAAGCTGGGAGGTTTGTGCGTGGAATGCATAGCTAAAGTGTAAGCAAGACACAGAGCTGTTTGAATTGTGTGTTTAAGTAACGCAAGCTTTGGCGCTGTAGCTGACTTGACCAAAACAGTAACCTCAGAGATCGCACAGACGTTTCAATGGCAGGTATTGGCAGCGCATTTGCACGTGGCTTGCACATGACTTGTTTATGTTTGTGTGATATGGATTGGCCGTATTTCCTGGGACCCAATATGTGACACATTTGCCCACTCTATGCAAGCTGCCACTGACACTTTTCTTCCATTTGCATCCATTGCAGCGCCCTCGGAAGAATGATCACGTCAATCAGCAACAGGCCCGGCTACATGCCGCCCGAGACCATTCAGCAGCGAAAGTGGTTCCCCAGAGGCGCAGATGCGTGCACTTGCATGACTTTGAATCATTCACGGCTTGTTTCTTGCACTGGAGGTTGCACTCTTATCAGCTGTTGCTCCCGACTTTGCAAGACCATGTCGTGTGTTGGCGTCCTGCTGAGTGAGAGCCGGTGAGATACTCTGTTGCTTGGCCACGCTCAACGTTGCGAATGCTGAGCGTGTTTACAACCCTGATTATGTTTCAAACAAGACGGACCTTTGCTTGCTGTTGCTGCGGAGGCCCCACAATGCTTGATCTCCCTTTGGCTCGCCTTTCAAGCAGCACAACACAAGGGGGGGTACCATCAAACAAGACACCAAACAATTTGCGGCGTCATTTGTCCGTCTAAGCAATAGCTGCCAGGAGATGTCTTTTGTCTTGGCGTGACCTTCATTCAGGCTGTGGGAACTGAGGGGTCGACGCCATGGGTATCTTTTCAGGTCTATTGGCTCCTTGGTTCTACTTCCATAAGGACACATTGGTTCATGTGCTGAAAAAGTATGCTACATGCTATGATGAAGCGTGAGTAGTGGGTCTAATTCGATTTCTTATCCCCGTGCTTCCCATGTGTTTGTTGACCTGGAGACGAGAATCAAAATGACCAGGCTTGTTTCGTGCCTCAAGGCGAGCCATAGTCTGATTGTTTGAAGGTACGGGACAAACAGCCTCGGAAGCTGGTAGTGAACTGTTCCCCTGCAAACGCTGTCCGTTTTAGATCAACCTTCAGCCGAGTTGCGATCCGCCAAGCCATCCGACACTGAGCCAGATGCAGTAGATGAGGCGAATGAACCTGGGGCGCATTGATGAAACTACCAGCAAATGGGTGTTGCTCCTCCTTCTGCATTTGCACCTTTGCACCCTGATCATGTCAAACTCCACGCAAACCCCGGTCCAACACCCCCCCTTTCTCCCCCCCCCGCCCTGGGCTGGAAAACGTAAACATTCCCCCCCTGTGTTTGATTTATATGTTGATCTCGATGCAACCGTTTGGCTCAAGGCCCTTTTATTGTTACTTTACAGAACCATACGCGTACAGGTGGAGAAAAGGGATTACTTGCGGACCGCTTACAGGTTATACCCACAAGACAATCCTACCAAGGACTTCCGTATACGCTCCATCCACTCTTGACATATTGGACCATCGTGTGGAATAGATCCAGGGACCTACAATAGACAATTACCACAAGGTACCTGCTCCCACGGGATAAGGTACTCCGGTTTCGGACCTCACCCCCCCCCACAGCGGAACACTGCTGAAACGTGCAAATTCGGTGGGGTCGCTAATGCGGACGATAGCTTAGACAAGTATTCGAAACTATGTCTCCGACCCAGGCAAGCCTTACACTGTACGCGACGAAAGACTGCGCGAGAAGTGTGCTTGAAACAGGTGCAGCTTGCTTTAGCGCTTGGGTCCTGCCTTCGTTTTCCTTCAAATTCCAGTGTGTGTTCAACGCAATATATCGAAACCCTGTGAAATACTGGACAATCACGATCACGATTTGCAGCCTCACAAGTCGACTGTTGGCCCAATTCCCCACGCCTGCCAGCCAGGAGAAAGTTGGAGTCACAGGTTGCGTTTGCGTTTCGCCCAGGGTCGTTAACGCGGACGGTACCTTGTCTAAGCACGACAGTTGGCCGCTGAATCTTGATGGCTCCCATGGTCTGCTCTTGAGGGTAGAGGTGTGCCGGGGGGAGGAGGGGCAATACATTCCCCTCCTTGCAGTTCATAGTTTACAGGAGCATTCCATTGGGGCTTTGCAAGTTGTTGCTCTTCTTTTCCCACCAGTTTGATCTCTCCAAACTGCCATTTTCAGTCAGATTCCTCAAAACACTGCAAGTAACTCCAGCAACCGCACAAATCAACGGCGAATCAGGGTTCCAAGGTGTTTCCTTGCTTTGATCTGGTATTCAAGCGAAGCCGGGCACTTGGGACGGCCTTCGGCCCTGGGCCTCGCGAGGTGCTGCTGGACAAGAGCCCTCCCACGGGGCCAAGGACCACTGCCACTCCAGGCACCCAGCGCGTCGAAGCGTGGAGCTTCCGAGCTTCTCGTCGTTTTTTTGGTTTTCCGCAAGCTCCTGAGATCCTTTGAGGCTGTTAGGAGTTTATCGTGTTCTGCACCTGATTCCCTGATTGAAGGTGTTCGTTGGCTTCATGGTCCCTCTTGAAAGACCAAAGTCACAAAGGAACTGGGGACAGGAGAAGTGGTTGGGAGTAGGCTCTTGTTCGCGACCCCGCTACCGATGCCCCCTTTGCATGCCCAACAGAAGGGCACGTGGCCTCCCGGTCCCTCTAAATCACGCTGTTGACAAATTTTCGTGGAGCCTTCCTCTCAGGACAGAATGACGTTGGACCCCTGAACTAAGTTTCAATCTCAGAAAGAACAAGCCCGCTGTTGAGACGTCATGTGGAAGACAGGGGCCAATGTTTGGGAGGCCCCCAGGCGCTCGCGGCCGGACTTCTTTGGAGTTGTGCCAGAAGCACTTTTAGGCAGAGCTGAGGACCCTTCTCGATTGGATTCAAACGGAGCTATACTCGTCGGACGCCTCCATGTGGCTCGAACAAGTGATCACGCCATCCCTGCGAGATAACCCAGGATCAAGCATGGGTCCTCTTTTTGTTGGGGCTGCCAGATAGTGCTGATTCATCATGAGTCAGTCATGTTGAAAGGGCAGTGGCAAGTATCCGCTGCTGTAAGAGCATGCTTGAAGGTTGGACCATGTTGGCTTCGGCCCATTCTGCTGAATATCAGAATCACACTTCTTGTGCATCCATGCTGATGCACCGGCAGCAGGCATTAGGTAATTCGCCTGATGCATGATGGTGTGCCGGCCTCATGTCTTCGATGTCAGTGTCAATGTCACGGTGACGACATCGTCGTGTTTGGCATAAGCCTATCTTTAGCTACAACTTGAAATGTTCCACCCCAATTACGCTCACCCGAATGCGCCGAACAGCTAAAGGAAGGTGTGCTTGTTGACTCCTTCTTCATCCATCAGCCGTTTGACCGTGTCTCTTCGATTCAGGCGGTATCTTCGTCGAAGGCTGCCAGACCATCCAGGACCTGAGGGGAGCTCATTGCCCCGGAGCAATGGATACAGCAAGGTTCTGAGAAGCGACATGCTTCTCCTTACTATTTGCACATGGTCATTTATCCAATCTGCGACATCGGATGACACTGAAAGTCAACTGACCGTCAGCTGATCAAGAACACTCCTTGTTCATGCATGTAGCCCCCTAGAAAGAAACTTATAAACCAGCTCAATCACAACTTCTGATGATTCAATCGCTTGAAACAGGAAAGTATCACAAAGACAACATGTTGGCGAGCTTCATGCGGAGGCCGCAGAGCCGTTTCAGGATCCCGGATGTTCGGAAACCAGCGGCAGCAGACAAATCGTTTCTACCCGGACATGCCACACTGCTTGTATGTACTGCAATGTATCATATGGAAAAAAAAACAACTTGTTTCAGTTCACGTCACTAAGTTGGTGTTCGCCGATTTGCTGATGCGGCAATTGCTCACAGGCTGCGCACAGCCAGGCCGCTTTTTGAGTAAGACATGCCATTCACCTGCATTGTGTTGTTCTCTTGATGTCCATGTTGCTGTTGTTTGCATTCATGTACTTTTCTCTTCGCCTAATTCAAACGTGTTTGTTCTGCTTTGCCGCGCCAAGTTATTCGCTCTCGAAGACGTAGCGCCTGCCAGACATAACATTTGCGACCGGCTGACAGAAGTCAACATTATACGGAGTCATTCGGCGCACGAACATGTGAGTAAATCACGTACTCGCTTGAAGGCTCTTCCATTGCACGCCGCCAGCGGATTGCAGATTGAAGTTTCCCCAAACAGGGCACCCTAGAAATGGTGTTCTTCTTTGGTTGCGTTTTTTTAAGGCCAAAGGAGTCCCAATTTTCGGACATCCCCTTTTTCGAGCTTTGCCCGACTCGGATCGTTCCTCCCTCGCCATGGCACTGCCATGGCCGCTGGAGTTGCCGGATCACTGAATGCCACTCTGAGAAAACCATCACTCCCCATGGAACTCGAGAGTGTCTAAAAACTGGGTACCCCTCAAGTGGTCGGCTTCTTGGTGGCTCCCCTTTCTCACCAAAAGGGGATCTCCCAGTTTTGGTGATTGTAGAACCCAGTTTCTGGGAAGACCCATTGCCTTGTGAGGAGACTTCATGTAACTGAGGAGAGCATGCTGCTACGTGTGGTTTGAGGGTCCAGGTCTGGCAAATGCCACGTGATGAAGAAGATATTGAAGAGTTATATCACTTGGGAAGAAATGCTAATTTAATCTGACTACGGCATGATATCCATAAAAGGGGAAGTGATGCTTTGGGGTGTATGATGGACAATATGGTCCCAGGCACACTACTGGCAAACGTAGCTTGAAATCAACAGTATGTGGCGACTCGTGAGTGTTGAGCGCCACTGGTCTTTGCCCTGCACCGAAGACTGGATGACTTGTGGGACAAACAGCAGAATGCCGATTTGCTCTATCAATGCCACATACCAAGTGGCTGTGTGTCAAAAGCAATAAACCAGGATTCAAGTTGTGCGATTGGTTTCCTCAAAAAACGTCATTTGCGGATATCCAAGAGAGTCAGAAAGAAAGAGAGAGAGGGAGAGGGAGGGGGAGAGGGAGGGAGGGAGAGAGACTGTCTGCCCAAAATTGCAAGTCAGCCAACCATTATATGTACATATATACTTTGCTTTGACAATATCTAGCTTTGTGGAGACTTCCTTCTGGATTTACCCTTGCTTCCGCTGACATGGCACCTTTTGGAGCGTACCGCTACCAAAAATCGCACGCCCATTTGGCCCCCTAAAGGCGAATCCGCTCCAAAGTCGACTGCACCCCACTATCCCAGCAAGGCTATCTGAGCTGAAGTTGGAAGGTTCTTGTTGCAACCAGTTTTCATGCCAGTCCCTTCTGACTCTCGAGCCAGGCTGCCGGGCAAGCTCCGCGCCAGCATCTCCCTGCCCCCCACGCGCCGGGCCAAAACCGCGGAGACGGCCAAGGCGCCTCGACTCGCGGAGGTCGACTCGACGCTCCCCAATTTTCCCATACACCTGGCGGATTGGGGGGGGGTGGTTCGGCCAAGAGTGAAGGATTCTCGCGAAATCAGGCACACACACACCATGAATCAACCAGGTTATGATTTTCCTGAGGCAACATCAAGGAAAGTGTTTGAGACTTCCGCACTTGGGTTCAAACCCAACTTTTTTTGGTATTGGACTACTTTTTGGTGATGGGTTCAATATTAATCCGGTTCAATGTATGTCCTTTGGGGAAAGGAAGTAGTGCGTCCTTATGGCTTTGCAAGGAGAGCCAAGAGGAACCCCCCCTCCCAAGTTGAGGCAGTGCCTATTTGTTTGGCTCACCCATTTCATTGTGTTTCAAAGCTTTGCCCTCTGCAAATAGTCCTTTAGGTGTCCTTCCAACGGGGCCGATTCCTTTTGCTGTGATTTTTGCATCCCACCAGGGAGCTCCACGACCGCCTCAGGTGGCTTGTTAATGGTTGTTAGCAGTCTTTTTGTCAACACATTGTAG